TTTGATTATGGAAATAGTGCAGATGGTTTCAAGGTTATTTGGGTAAAATACACATGGATAGTTGACCTTTGAATAACCAGTACATCAGTTTAAGATCAGTGTTCTACTATAGTATTATTTAAGTGCTCCGGGACGCTACCCCGGGTGAAGGGCACTATATAAATGCCAGTTGTTGTTGCACTTCTGTGGGGACTTCATGAAGACTCTTATAGGAGCTCGTTATCACTATACAGTATTTTCTTTTGAGTATCTCAACTGCTTTCTGATGAGCATTGATGGATTTTTCTACAAACCTAACTGATGCTGAGTGTGAAAAACAAGCTATCTTCAGCACGAGCTGATCTTGATGGAGAGCTGTTCCATTATATAGATTTCACAATGCTGGTGATCTGTAAACCATCCTCGTAAGATAATGCTCAACTGACCTTTGAGGGGTTGCCTGTCCATTCCACTTATAAATTGTATTAAAATTTGTGGCCAGCTTAGGGACTTGTAATGGCAAGAACTGAATTTTTGTTGCTTTATTTCTAAATTGAAGTAGTGAAAACTAGAGATATCTCAAGATATTTAGCCAAATCCTGTAAATATTTTTCACTGAGATTGCTAACTCAATGTGGATCCCTTAAACAAGATCGGGTTACGTTTTTGAATTCAGATGTGACTGAGGCAATAGAAGGCTCCTTCCTCTCTGTGTTTGCTGAATTTTTAGGTCATATAAAAAACTAGTTTAAGCACACCAGACATGGCCTTAAAGATTTTGATTTGATGGTCTAAAACCGACTATAATTTCACATAAATTGGCGTTAGACTGGCAATCTCACTTCAGTCACAGGAGGATTTATCTTCTGCAGTTGAAGCTTGGTTATGTTGTTGAGGCACAGTGTAGGAAATTTAGCTCTTGGGTTAAAAAAGAGTTTTATTTCCTCAAATTGGTAATCATTAGAGAAAGTGGATTGAGTGACCAATTTTTAAAAAAATATATAAATATTGTCCGGCTTTTGTTTCCTTTTAGGAATTGATTGAAATAAATTAACCAAAATGTGAAGTTTCCAGAGTTGAATGTAAGATTACTGTCTTAAAGAATTAAATTGAGAGATTACTGGGAGAAACTATTCCAGAAAACCCAGACTGTGGAACCTCTTTGGTTTGTGTGTTAATGATCTCTTGTTGAGAATTTTATTCAGGTGGATTTGACCAAGTTGTGTGTTATTTATATTGCACTTGTGTAGCTTTGATCAAATAATACTAGCAAATATGTGTTGTGATCAAAGGTTACAACATTTCAGGAAACGTTCAGCATGGGGAGCAGGGAATAAACCAGTTTTAAAAACTGAAATAAAATATAGCTAAATCTTTAGGAAATCTGCCTGAAAATATATTGAACATAGTTTTGTAAGAGATTTGGATGAAGATGACCAATATCGTGGTGTAATAATCCAAGGTTTATTAAGTAATACAAATAGCTTAACTTATTCTTAAAACTGAGACCATAGATGGACTAGAATCGATATCGATTCCACTGGGAAGTGCACTGACCCTCTACACAACTCCAACTATTTCTAAGTTAATCTTTCTTTTATGTGCTTCTAAGTCCATCTCTCCTCGTCACAGAGATAGCTCCCAAGCAAAGGGCTGCTTTGCAGAGAGAGAGAGATGGCCAACTTCTGGGCAGCTTCCCAAGTCTGCTTGTTTCTCAGCCTCGATGTAGGCAGGTGTCTGAGGCTGCAGCCTTTCCTTTCTGTGGTCCATTGCTCTTACATCTATGCTCAAGGACCCGATTGCTCATTACCTCAGAAAAGTGAACATCTTCCCAGGAAAATATGGAATGTAATCAGAAGCTGACCTCAACCCATCCAGCAAAGCTAACTTTAACCCCTGCTAAGCTAGTTATTAAATCAAACAAACCTCATTAAAGGATTATGGATAGATTACATTCTAAACGTATATAAAGATTAATGAAAAGCCTTAACAAACATTACAAATATAATCTTACAGTTTTACAAGAACTACTTCTGGATGTAATTTTCTTTTGCTATTTCCATGTGCCAAAAAGATACATAATATCAAACTTTAGAAAAGCTCCACACCAGAAATCCATTTAACAAGTTCCATGTGATTAATCATCAGTGCTTACCATTCGTTTGTGGAATTTATTCTTTTCCTTCAACAAATCAGCTATTGCAATAGCTGATTTGTTGGACTCTGTCTCTCTTTCTCTCTCTGTTTCTCCTTCCTCTCCCTCCCCATATCTTGGGGCTCCATATTCAACGGAAAAAGGAGTAATCCTCTTAAACTGTTCATTAAGCAGCTGTTTGTCATTGTTTAGTGGCGGCATGTACTGAGCTTAAGAATTTTTGTTTAAATGAGTAAAAGCGTGTCATTTTTCTGTAACAACTGCTGTAATAACTGAAGGTAATTCCGTTATATAATCCATAAATATCTTTAGAACCTTTTATCAGAGAGAAACTACAGTGACATAATTGCCTAATATTATTGATTTTTAACTTGCAAAGTAAGATAATTCAACAGCCTGAATGGGAAAAGTGTAACAGTGCAATTCTAGAATAGCCAACTGCAACTTTAATATGCAAAGTGTTCTTATCAATTTAATAAAATTTAAGATCCATTTCCTTATTGCTGTGAGAGAAACACATTAATCTTAATTCCTTTACTGTAAAGGGATGGTTAGATTAGTATTTTTGTATGGAAATTTGATTGAGTTCACTCTAATGTTATTTATAATTACTTTTCTGCTTTGTTATGATGAGAGTTCACATCGTTAGATACTATTTCTGACATACACTTGGTTTTCAAAAAAAACAAAAGGAACTACAATCTGCATGTACTCTTTATTCCAAATACTGTTCCAAGTTATTTTTGAAGATGTTAATCAACCGCTTTTGTTTGGAGTTCTTATCTTTACAATCTTTTTTTCTTTTTATAGTTCTGCTCTCATTGTCTGCTAACATCTGAATAATCAATTCCTCTCGTTATTTAAGATCTGGCTCATGCCCTCTTCCATTTTTTTTCTAATGAGAATAATTTCATCTGTGTAAGTTCTCTCCTCATACCTTATGGTTGTAAGGTTCAAGTAACTTCTATGTTGTTCTTCTCCCACTCCTGCCCAATGCTTCAATACTGTATTGCATGATATAGAATTTACACATCATTTTGGCAATATGATTTTCCTGTTTATCAGTCTCCGTTGATACAATACACAAAATTACATTTGTAAAGCGCCTTTCACGTCAGGATCAGGGAGGGCGGATGGCAGAGAGGGTAGGAGGCTGGCCGAAAGCATAGTTGAAAAGGTGGGCCTTGAGGCGTGCCTTGAAAGAGGTAAGGGAAGGAGCGAGGCGAAGGGATTGTGAGATGGAGTTCCAGAGGGTGGGGGCAGAGAGGCTGAAGGCCCGACTGCTGATGGTGGGGCGGGCCGGGCGGGAGACATGGAGCAGGCTGGAGCTAGCTGAGTGAAGGGAGCGGATGGGTTGATAAGGGGTTAGCAGTTTGGAGAGGTAGAAGGCAGTAAGGCCGTGGAAGGCCTTGAAGGTGAGGATGAGAATTTTGAACTCGATCTTCTGAGCGATGGGGAGCCAGTGGAGCTGGGTGAGGGTGGGGGTGATGGGGTCACAGAGCCTGGTGCAAGAGAGAACATGAGCTGCAGAGTTCTTGATGATCTGTAGCTTGTGGAGGGAAGAGTTGGGAAGGCCGATAAGCAGGATGTTGGCTTAGTCGAGCCTGGTTGTAATGAAGGCATGTATGAGGGTTTCAGCGGCCTGAGGGGTGAGGCAGTGGCGGAGTCGGGGGAGGTGGGGGACGATAGAGCGGGTCATGGCATGTGGGGTAGAAAGAATAGTTGAGGGTCGAACAAGACGCCAAGATTCCTGACTGGTTTGGTGAGGTGGAGTTTGTATCCGTGAATGCTGATACTGCCAGTGCCTGCGGTGCGGAGGCTCTGGCGCGAGCCAATCAGGAAAGCCTCGGTCTTGCTGGTGTTCACTGTAGAAAGTTAGCTCTCATCTAGGACTTGATGTCTGACAGACAATCTATCAGGACAGCAGTGGTCCTGGGGTTGAGGGTGGAGGCAGAGATAGAGTTGGGTGTCATTGCATACAAGTGGAAATTGACCCCATGTCTGTGGGTGATGTCGCCAAGAGGGAGCATGTACAGGTTGAAGAGGAGAGGACTGGGGGCGGTTATTATTCCAGGGATAATGATGTCTGTCTCTGCTGTTCCTGCTCGGGAATGGACTAGTGTTTGCCATCTGAGCCTGTCTCCCCCTTTTGTTGCCACTGTTTTAAGCGCTCTGAGATGCCGTCCGGCGTGGAGGGCGCTATATAAATCCAAGTTGTTGTTGTTGTTCATTCAAAAGACCACTGGAAGAGAGAGGCAGAGGCAAAGTCTTCTTGTGGCTTGCAAGCCCCCAAAAATTCCTTCTCTCTTTTCTTTCCCCCCCCCACCATGAATTACTGCCTTGAAAGCCACACAAATGAGAGGACTCGGGTTTGATTCCTGGGTGTGTCGGGGCAAAATCTTTTGGCTAAGGCTAGTTTCCTTACTCCACACACGCACCTCTGTTTACCTAGCATTCAGTAGGAATCCAACTATTTGTCAATTGGCAGATCGATTAATTTCCAGGGATAATCACTCCAACAACAACAAAATTATAATTTGGTCACTTGATCCATGAGTATTTGTGGGACAATTGGCTGCCGCGTACAAAAAGTACAGTCAATTCACTTTACAGTGTATTCTGTGAAGCGCTTTGAGACGTCTCAACGACGTGATAAGGCGCTATATCAAACACAAGGATTATTATTATCCTTATTCTAATAACTGCAGTGCAGTGTTGGGGAGCGATACATTGTTTGTGTTGGAACAGAGTTTGGTAGTAGATATAAATATGTTTGTGAAGTGACACACAAAGATCTGTTCCGTACAATTTATTTTAAATATCTTTCTTACTTAGATTATAATATATATATATACTATCTTCTCAGTGCACCTGTAGGAAAGACATGGTCAAGATATCTATGGATGTATTCGTGCAAAAATTTCAACCAAGCAGATATGAACTTTGGAAACGAGGAAAGGATGTTCAAACTATCGATCATACAAAACCAACTCCTGAATCAACTCCCGAGTTTGAAGCTTGGCAGAAAAAAAGAAAAGTGATACAGAAGAAGTCAGGAATGGCTTTAAGAAGGTAACTAAATAGTAGCTGCAGTTTCAGATCCTTATGCTATTTAAGCAATCGCAAATGAGTTGATTTGATGGGTCTTAGGCTTGTGTCACAAGTTTAACCCAAACATTTGTGGAGATGTGGGTAGGGCATACTGAATATGGGTATATTGATCTTGTGATGCATTTCCTGAATTAACTTATTTTTGGGGGGATGAATTTGGTTTAGGAGGGAATGTAAGTCAGGATACCGAGATGAGACTCCACTTTAAATATTGGCAGGAGGGGCAGGCGGGTAAATGGTCCATTGATGCTCGCTTAAATCTCAAGATAGCGAGCACTTAAATTAATGGCTCAAATAGAAAAGGATGCTGATCTAAAAGTAAATAATAAGCAATTCAGATTATGGAAATACATAAAACTCACATAAGTCATATCAGTTGGGACCGCAACATTTAATATGATGTACGTGAAGTCCGAGTTGCAGGCAAACTGTAGAAGCTGTAGAAAATCTAATTTAATCAATAATCTACACTACACATGTGTAATTTAATGCAGACGGTAAGTGCCCATGGGGTAAATTCTTCATTGCAGCCGGTAAGGGTGATTCAGTGACAGATCAAGACTACATTTCCTGCGATTCAATGTGTCTTCACCCGTCACCGCATGTGCACTTACCGGCAGACGTTGGAATTGCATTGAATGGCGGGAAATTAAGTTCATCTGAGCATGTGTTGATGGATGAAAACTTTTCCTGTGATTCAATACAGTCGGCTGGTAAGTGCTCATGTGTCGATGGGTCAGGACCTCATTTCACGCGATTCAAGGCCTCCGGTAAGAGCTGGAATAATGGAGGGTAAGGGAACTGCGTTATGAATTAGGAGCTGTTTAATACGAGTACTGTAAAGAAATCTAAATTTCGATTCAGGAAAATCGGGAAACTGAATGGAACTCAGGTAAATGTATGACTTAGGCATTTATACAGTTCATAAGATAAGACTTAACGCGAGTTTTATTACATTTACTACTGACCAGTAAGGGAAAACCTTGACTGAAAAATATTTCTTAAACATAAATGCTGTATGATGCTTTGTTCTCCTGTTGTGAAGCCAGTCTTTAGAAATAGATGCGCTTCCTTAATCAGGATCAGCTGGTTGGGAAAAGTTTCTTGAGAATCTTATCTAAATTTGTTCCAATCTGACAGTCGTACTTTCTGCAGCCTCCATCAGTTCAAATCTCGTTCAAAGAAACTGAAAACTCTGGAGGATGAAAGGTCATACAGTGAACCCGTTGCTACAGAAACAACAGCAGCCAAAATATTTACAGATGGTATCAATGTCAAAGAAGAGCCCAGCAGGGAAGGACTGGAAGAAGAGTTTAGCAACACAGAAGTCATGACCACTGGAGAAGAAAGTATTAAAAACATTCAGGTGGATAAAGTACAGTCACCAGGTGAGATGTACACTTAGCTATCAGTTACTTTTTCCACAAATCTGCCTCCATCGCTAACCTGTCAAGTTTCCTGCACTCTTCGTCATTATTAACACCTCTTAATTTAGTATCATTCACAAATTTGTAAATTATTCAACTCCTGCATTCAGATTATTGATAGAACAAAGAGGTCTAAAAACTAATCCCTGAGTTTTCTCTGACATAGTCAAAATCAAATACTAACAATCTTTGCATTTGATATAGTGCCATTCACATTGGCAGAGCATCACAAAGTATTTCACAGCATATACTGTAAAGTGTAGTGAATGTGCAGATTAATCTGACTTCGATTCCCGGGCAGGACAAAAAGGTAGGCAAGTTTTCTTACTCCACGTGCTTCTGTTTACCTATAAGTAGGAACCTGGTTGTTAGTCGATTGGTGGATCTCTTTTCCGGGATAATAATCCCTTCAATAAATAAATAATAATTTGGTCACTCAATCCACGACTGTTTGTGGGACACTGCTGTGCGCAATTGACTGCCACATTTCGGCCACAAAATATAGTCAATTCAATTTACACTATAATAAATAATAATAATAATAATAATCCTTGCATTTGATATAGCGCTTTTCACGTCGGGAGGACGTCCCAAAGCGCTTCACAGAACACACTGTAAAGTGAATTGACTGTATATTTGTGGGCGAATGCGGCAGCCAATTGCGCACAGCAATGTCCCACAAACAGTTGTAGATTGAAAATGACCAATTTATTATTGTTTTTGGTTTTGGAGGGATTATTATTAGGCTCTGTGTGGAGTAAGGAAACTTGCCCAAGGTTTCGCTCTGCCTGGAATTGAACTCAGGTCTCTCACTTGCAAAGCGAGTGCACTAACCACTGAGCTACAGGACTCCACAAATCTGTATAATCTGTGAAGCGCTTTGAGGCGTCTCAAAGACGTGATAAGGAGCTATATCAAATGCAAGGATTATTATTTGTGTACAGCAATATACCACAAACAAGCTTGAGGTACGTGTATGTTGTTTCATACCCTCTCACTTCACCCCCTCCTGCTCTATCTCCTTGGGCTTCTCCTATCTCCCCTCCTCTCACAACCTCTGCCTCCACATCCACTCCCCCACCCACGTTCATGGCCACCCACTCGACCTATTGATTACCTGGGTCCTCAGTGTCTCAAATATCACAATCACAGTCAAAGCCATCTTCGACCACCAATTCATCGCCACTAACTCCTCAATCCCGCTCCTCACCGCCACCAAATCCACTTGCATCTCCCACTGCCCCTGGAAAAAAGTCTCCCTGCAATCCCTCTCCTCTGCCTTGGAGTGATTTGAACTTCTCCCATTCTGGCATACCTCTCGCACTGATTTATCCTCCTCACTCACCCTCCTCCACAACTCCCTCTCCACCACTCTTGATGCCCTTGCCCCACTCACCTCCCTAACCGCCTCCTATTCACTAACCTCACCCTTTTACGCCAGCCACCTCCGCTCCCTCAAGGGTCAGGTGCGGGCCACCAAACATACCTGGCTCAAATCTGATCTAACGGGCCATCAGCTGATCTGGCCTGGACCACATCAAGTCCTGGATGAGAACCAACTTTCTACAGCTGAATGTCAGCAAGGCCGAGGCTCTCCTGATTGGCTCACATCAGAGCCTCCGCATCTCAGGCACTGACAGCATCAGTATCCACGATTGCACACTCCATCTCACCAAGCCAGTCAGGAACCTAGGGGTCTTATTCAACCCTTTACTGTCCTTTCTTCCCCACATCTGTGCTATGACCCGCTCTGCCTTACCCCACCTCTACAAAATTGCCTGACTCTGCTACTGCCTCAGCCCTCAGGCCCCCGAAACCCTCATGCACACATTTGTCATCTCAAGGCTCGACTACGGAAACTCCCTCCTTGTCGGCCTCTCCAACTCTTCCCTCCACAAGCTGTAGATAATCCAGAACTCTGCAGGTCGTGTCCTCTCCTGCACCAGGTTCCGTGACCCCATCACCCCCACTCTCACCCGGCTCCACTGGCTCCCCATCCCTCAGAGGATAGAATTCAAAATCCTCGTCCTCACTTTCAAGGCCCTCCATGGCCTTGCCCCCTCCTACCTCTCAACTTATCTGCTCTCTCCGTTCAGCAGGCTCCAGTCTGCTCCAGGTCTCCCGCCCGACCCGTCCTACCATCGGCAGCTGGGCTTTCATCCTCTCTGCCCCCACACTCTGGAACTCCATTCCACAATCCCTTCCCCTCGCTCCCTCCCTTGCCTCCTTCAAGACACGATTCAAGATCTTTCTTTTCGACTGTGCCTTCAATCGCCCTCCTACCTCTCTGCCCAACGCTGCACCCCCACGTTCGGGTCCTGATCATGGATTGTTCAGAGCCTTGGGCGTTCACCCGACATGAAAGGCTCTTTACAAATGTAATTTTGTTGTTGTATGACCCATTTTATTTGGGGGATTGTTGGACAGGAAGGACATTGAGAGAAACTCCCTTCTCTTTTCAAATAGTGCAGGTGGATCTTTAACTTCCATCTGATCAGGCAAACCAGACCTTGATTTAATGTCTCATCATTGTGGTCATAGATTCACATCTCAGTGCTGTTGGGTATTTGTGTCCATTGTCCAGTAATCAATAATTATATATGAAAATTTACAGTTTCTCCCAGTATCATGGCAAACAATTCTCCAAATAAAATTAGTCACTCACTTCATGGTTGTTTGTGGGACATTGCTGTGGTTACCTCGTTTGCCTACAAGACACACATTCACTGCACTTAAACCTAACAGTATATCCTGTGAAGTGCTTCGGGATGTCCTCCCAAAGTGAAAATCACTGTACCAAATTTATTTATTATTATTTAGTATTTTTCCAACATAGTGCTAGCCAGCCAGCTATAATGACTATTGCTATTACATGCCATAATTAAGTAGTTTATCATATTTATTGTATGTAGATTGTGGTTTATTGTAAGCTCCCTATGTGATAGTTGTTCATAATATTGTGACTCATCAATTCATTCATTATTATTTGACAGTCATTATTTATTCAAGACCCATCCATATGGCTACATTGACATGATGGGCTGTACGGCCTCTGTGCTGTGCTATAAATTTCTGTTTTGTTTCATAGAAATACCTCACAATGTTATTTGAAATTACTGTACTCAAAACATGTGCTGTCTTTTTTCAGAAACTAATATTATGCTTAATCAAACTTGCATTTGATATAACGTTTTTCACTTTAGGAGGATGTCTCAAAGTTCTTTGCGAGATTTACGGTTAAATATTGTGTCTATTTTGTAGGTGAATGCAGTAGCCAATTTGGGCACACCAAAGTAATAATAATAATAATCCTTGCATTTGAAATAGCATCTGACTTTGCTTCATGTAGCAAGTAAATTTAAGCTTGTGTTTTTTCGTTCCACAGAATATAATAGTACAGAAACGTTTTCCCATCTTGCCAATGCAAAATGCAAAAGTAAAGCTGATGAAAAGAGGAAAGAAGATGCCTGTTTTACGTCATCACCTGTGGACAAGGTTAATGCAGGCACCAACTCTTCAGAATGTACAAAGGCCAACATTACAATCGGAGTGGAGAGTAACACAGCTAGTGATCTAGAGAAATGCAAAGAAGAGGACTTGGATCACGAGGGCAAATTGTATCAGAGCATTGCTACAGAAACTCAACAGACCTGCTGGAAACAGTGTGAAATTGGTGGTGTCTCGACGGAGGAGGAAACCAGTGAAGCTGAGAGTGGAGAAAATGGCTTGGAGCCTGGAGAAATACCAAGTGTAATAATATTTTTTAAAAATAAGTTGAAATGCTAGCAGTAAATTGATGTGCACCTTTATTTTCCCCAGTGTGTGTGAGCAGTGATTTGTTTAACAGGCATTTAACAGGTGTTATTTAAAATAACAGTGTGGCTTGGAATTATTATACCTAATTTAAAAAAGAAACTCACTCACAGGCTAGTGCCACATAAAGCCATACAGACCAGAAGATTCCAAGTTTGAATCCTGGTCTGTACTGATTTAGCAAATATTAGCAAAAGTTAGCGTATCAAACAACTTCAGTACCCCGCTGGCCTAAGGATAGGATAAATGTAGAGAAAATTTCAACTGCTTGCTATTCAGTAACTCCCGCTGAAAAAATGAATACCTGTAGACATTGGGTAAGAACAGGACTAGTTTGATTGATGGTAACAATAATAATACCACGTTGTTGAGATGCCTCAAAGCACTTCATAGGGTATATTGTAAAGTGGATTGACTGGATTGACAGCAGTCTTCCACAAACAACTGTGGATTCAGTGACCACTTTTTTTNGAGGGATTATTATTTGTTTGTGCTGTGTTGACAGTTAAATAGCCTACTGATACTCTTGTCTTGACAACACATTTGGACAATGTACTAAAGGATGATTGGCACCTGTGGAACCATATCCCAGCACGAGTTGTGCCTTTAATAGAAGGATGCGGGGGGAAGAAAACTGACCCCCAAAAAGATGTTAGTATTTCACAGATTCTTCAGTTTACTGGGGGTATCACTTTTTCCAACAAGCATACATAGTGCTTGCTATGAAAAATTTGCTTGAATCAAGGCTGAAAATATACCATGGTGATTGATGCTTCAAAAGTCTGACCGGACAATTCAATCATTAGCGATGTAGAGTAAAACCAACATCACATGCATATCTTTGCATATCTTTCTCACAATATCTGAATTTTGAAACTTTACATGCTGCAAGTTGTAAAATCACCTACTATCGGTTTCATCCTAAGATCTTTACACTCAGTATGTCTATTCTTCAGTATCACTCCTTATTCTTGAAATATGTGAGGAATTGAAAGGAACATGATCTAATATGGGCAAAATGGTTGTTTCTAGATCTAACTAGTTCTGGCTCAGTATCTTCCTATGAAAATCATCATCACTGCTGAAGTATAGAAAATCTTAAGATATTTTTGCCCTTATGCAGTACTTAGATACTTATGTTTGTAAGTAGTTTTTAATGTCTTCTGGCTTTTGAACAATGACTGTCTGTTGAATCCTTTTATTTAGCAACAGTGAACAGGGTCGTTTACAGAGGGTAAAGGTAATCCCATAAAAGGATCGATTAGTGGCTGCTATCCATGCATGCTCTATGTTTCACTTTCCCTGTAGTTAGCAGAGCACACTTGGGTCAATGAGTTATGCTCACTGTGTTTTATATAGGAGCACTTCAACTAAATTATTCTTTAAAAATCAGTCTGCTTGACTAAAAAACAGATAAGTCTTCTATATTGCAAATTCCATCCTCAGCAGTATTGTTCTACATTAATAAAGTAATGTACAAATCAGTTTTGCTATACTTTTCACAAATAATGCAATTTTGTTTCTTGATCTATAAATTCTTGGCTCTCATGTACTTTCAGTCCTCTTAAGATTTGGCTGCCCAGTGTTGGAGGAATGAGCTATGAGCAATGTCTAGATTCAGTTTTGAGAGAAGACAACTCAGAGGGGACCTCATAGAAGTGTACAAAATTTTAAATGGAATTGGAATTGAAAAAGTAATCCCTCCATCAATACTTTTGGATGTATCATAATAGTAGAGAACATAGGCTAGAGCTGTAAAGGGCAATATCAGGACAGATACCAGGAAGTTTTTCATTATACAGAGGGTAATTAATGACTTGAACAGATTGCCAATCAAGTTGGTGGAGGCCAGGACACTAGACTCATTTAAAAAGCAGCTTGATGCAGTGATGGGGGGGGATGGTAAGGTGGGTGTTCTGGAGGGACAAAATTGGATGGACCATTGGGCTTTCTTCACCCCAACCAATTCTGATTTTGTAGAAAATTAAAAAGTGAATCTCCCTCTTTGCTGCTCTCCAATTTGCTTCAGCCCACTTGGAGCAATTGAGCAGCCAAGGCTCATACAATCCAGCAGAGAAGATCGGATACATTTAGTAGTGGTGAGTGACTTCAAGCCTGAATGTTAAAACATTCTTGTAAAATAAAGGAGGAAGGGAAGGGAATGAGTTAGTGAACTCCAATGTTTTGGTTTCAAGAAAAATGAAGAGCAGGTAAAATAACTTAAATGTAGTGGGAGGGAAACCAGAAAAGAAGGTTCACCCTTTTCACTGGTATGATTTCCAGTAACCCCCCCACCAACCACTGACTCCGCTTTCCGCATATAACTTCTATGTGGGCCCCTAAGTGGGTTTGACAGCTTTATGCTGTGGCCTCTGCCAGCTAGAAATGAGGGTGAGTGTACGCCAATGAATTTAATGTAAAACCAGAAGAACAGGAAACTTTAATGCAAATAGTCTGAGCTGAATTGGACCCAGATCCCGTGAGGTTAAAAAAAAAATTGGCTTATTGTATTACTCAGACCCCTCATCTTCAGGACTTTGATTGTGTTTGACGGTTAAAAGAGGTTTTAATTGTTTTTGACCTCATAGCAGAGATACCTTTGAATGTTTGACATTTTTGCTGTCCTAGTTTTATAACGGCATTAATAGATTGGAGAATGTTTGGAATAGAGCGACAAGGATGCTTTGTTAAGTTAAAACTCAAAGATAAACACATTCTATAAGAATTGAACTGTTTATTGAGGGAAAAAGAGTAACTTATCCAATTTTTACAAAAACACAGAAAGGGAATGTCAGGAGGGTATTCAGCTTGACAGAAGTTCAAAAGTAGTGAAAGTAGAATTGAAAAAGTGCATATGTGTGACAGACGGATCTAAGCAGTTAATGCTGTGTCAATAAATGCCCCTAAAAAGAAAACTGAAAGCTGATTGTAAATATAGATATTCAAATGCTTAATGGTTCCTGTGCTTCTGGTTACACATAAATGCTTTCTACAGAATATAGTTGTATAATATTTGATAACCTGGAGATGCCGAAAATCATTTGGGGGAATTGATGAGTTTTATCTCCTTGGAAACTCTTACATGTGATTATCCTTCTGCTTCAACAGATTAAATAGATTTTGTTGAGTTTCTGATGAAGGCATGGTATAGAGGGATTGGGTTCAATGTGCCAACTTACTTATCCTTGTTTTCTTATACAACTATCTGTATGATTGACTTGTAGGATTGTCATTCTGGACAGGTAGGTCGACATTTGATTTATTGTTGGTAATAATGGATGTTTACTTAAGATCACTTGATATCACTGTGTTTTAATTGTAAAATGAGTAAGGGACAAAATATTACTTGTATATCCATTGGTGTAGATTTGGTGCTTCAAAATGTGCATGTCATCAATTTTGAAACGAGTCTAATTACATTGGTGTGGAGTGATTTTTCATTCTTCCAGTGATGAATTCAAATCATTCTATTCCATATAGAGTCAGCATAAAGGCACATTGAATACCAGGTGATTAAAGATGGTTCTAAGGACACCACCAAGCAGCAATGCCGTGGAATAATGACGTATTGCATCAACTGGAACAATGATTGATAGCTAAACATACCTATTTAGCTCATGTATAGATAATAATATAACCTTAAAGACTGTTTTATCTATCTGGACATTGTTCGATCACCACAAAAATAATTTTACCCTGAAAATGCTTCTATCAAAAAAGCTGTTGCTGTTTACATTTTGGCTATCTTGTTCATTATCACTAAAATGTTTCATGCTGAGCCTATTTTCAGATCTTGTTTCCACTTTAGTATTGATAGGTTTAATTCTTAGTTCATATTCTCTTTTCCTCAGACTTCAGAAACAAAATCAGCAGTTTGTGTTTCCTTTCATATCTGACTTTTGTGTTACTTTCTTCAATTAGCTGAAAAATAGCTATGAAATCTATTATATCTGTGATAGAGTATTTATCTTTATCTCCATTCCCCAAATTGAGCTCTGCAGAAAAATGAAGGTCCACAAATGGGTACATGTAAGATTATAATAATAAATCCTTACATTTTCACATCAGGTGGACATTTCAAAGCACTTCACAGGATACACTGTGAAGTGTAGTTTTAGGCGATTGAATCGTTAAGTAACTCCTGCAATATCAGTTGCTAGTAAAACTGGATAGTTTAACTCAGTTTGCAGTGAATGAATGTTTCATGCTTTACCTCTAGAAAAGAAGCTATTAGAAGATGGTGATTTAGTCGAGCATCGTTTTATTAATTGCTTCAAGTAGGCAAGCTGTGGAAAATGTATTACATTTCTCATCTAATTGGTGAATATTTTACAATATTCTGAAAGCAATTAATGTATTGTAGAGCTGGTATCCTGAGTTTTGAATAGTCTGGGCCAGGCAGTTGTTAACCTAAAGGACCTGGTTCACTTAGCCTTTGAGTCGTGTCAGGCTGGGACAGTGGTAGCACTCTTGCCTATGAGTCAGAAGGTTGTGGGTTCAAGCCGCAAGTCGGGACTTGGAATCATATCGTCTCAACTGACACGCCAATGCAGTGCTGGTATGTGTTTCATTGTCAGAGTTGCTGTCGTTCGATGAGATGTTAAAAAGAGGTCCCAACTGCCTGTTCAGATGGATGTTAAAAGATACCACGACAATATTCGAAAAGAGAAGGAAGTTTCTCCCAGAATCCTGGCCAACAGTCCCCCCCAAAAATTGGTCACTCACTCAGTGGCTGTTTGTGGACCATGCTGTGCACAACTGGCTGCTGTGTTTGCCCACATATACAGTCAATCCACTTTACAGAATATCCTGTGAAGTGCTTTGAGATGCCTTAATGATGTGATAAAACGCTGTATCAAATGCAAGGATTATTATTTAGAGCAGTAATAATTATAAAAAGTAATAGGCAATTGGTCCTGTATTTTGTTATTGTTTAAAGGATTTTGTGCATTTTTGTTTTCAGTTTCCAGAACAGTTCATCAGAAGTGTAGGAAAAAAGAAGGCAGCGAAGAGTCGACGACATCCTTTGTGCAAACCACCAGCTAGATCACCATCAACGTTCGTCAAACAGGAGTCAAACAGTGATGAAGGTGAGTGACAACATGCTTCAAAGCAACTTCCTAATAATAATTGAGGTTACCAGATTACTATTGTATATTATGCCACGCAATGGATTTTCAGAACTTTTTCTAAACATATAGTAAGAATACATGTGAACTATATTGAGTCTCTGGCTTGCTTTTACACAATCTGAAACATACTGAGGCAAGTACGTGTATGCAATCTGTATACAACTGAGAATCATTTTTTTAGCAACTATCTAAAAGGATTTTAGTAAGAAAACAACAAATCGTTAAGATAGAAATGTACAAATCCAGATCCCGTATTGTTTCAAGGTCTTCCGCCCACTCAAGGGAGTTTCTGCAAGAAGGAAACAGCGGGGTATAGGAATGGAGGAGGAGGGGTTTCTGTTGTGTTGGTTGGCATGTGAAAGCCAGAAAGGCCTTACATTTAAGTAGGAGGATGATTAGCTGCCTTTTATATCAAATTGGCCAATAGAACTTTTCACAGGCTTATTTCTGAACAATTTTGTTTACTTCTAAACAATGTCTTTTTACCATGCCTCGAATGGTACCTCTTCAGTCACCCTCCATTTCCATTCTCCTGCTCATACCCTTCACTCCTCAGATCTAGTCCTGCTGCACATCGCTCGCTCTCTGCCCCACCATTAATGGATGAGCTTTCAGTCACTATCTGGACTAAAAATGTGTATCTTTCAATGTGTTTTCAGTCAACATATGAAAATAGTTGTCCATTCAAAGTTTTTTTAAAAAAATCCTTATTTCATTCTATGTAGTGTCTTGTTCAGAATCGCACCCTTAGTACTTTAACTCCAGCCTGTAGCATTTCCTCACTAAATCTTTATCTAACTTCCTCTGGTGAAAAATAACTTGCAGATAGGCTTGACTGGACTTGATAAAAATCAGTAAACATTTTTTGCACTGTTCCACAATCCAGCACAAATACATTTTCATTGATAAAAATAGATGCTGGAAGAATTGAGGCAAAAAGAATTGAAATTCGGTGTGTACTGGGGTTAAAGGGCAGCAAGGGGAAGGAGGGGGAGCCACAAAACACAATCCTGTAGTGGGAGTGATTCACCTCCCTTGTCTTGAATGCCCGCTTTTATACAGGCAACAAATGACTCTGTTTTGTGTTCTCTTTGATATTATCTGATAAAAAGCAAGTTTCCACCAACCCAAATTATTTAAATTACTACATGGAGGTCAATGGATGAGGTGGTCTCATGTTGTAGGAATGAAAATCTTTAAAGAAATGACATACCTTGATATTTTTCTCTTGGTTGTCAGACCTGTTTATTATATGTAGTAAACAAAGTCAAAGAATGATACATGCCTGAAGATATGCAATCTACCTCTAGTTTTTCCTATCACACAGAGGATACAGTTCAAGATCCCAGTCATCACCTTCAAAGCCCTACCTCTGTGACCTCCTAACCCCCTACCATCCTGCCTGCTCCCTCCGCTTAGCGGGCTCCAGGCTGCTTCACATCCCCCTCCTCGCCTGCTCCACCATTGGCAGGTGGACCTTCTGCCACTCTGCCCCACCCGTTGGAACTCCATCCTGCAGTCCCTCCGCCTCGCCCCCTCCCTTGCCACCTTCAAGACCCACCTCAAGACCCACTGTGCTTTCGATCACCCTGCTTCCCCCCTGCCCTCCACCCTCCCCAACACCCAGGTCGGGTGAAACTGATTGTCAAGTGCCTTGGGAAGTCCTCCCGACGTGAAAGGCGCTATACAAATGTAATTTTGTTGTTGTTGTTGCATCGAAAAGTCCAACACCAAATGAAATCTGTTTGTTAATTGTTCTCAACTTTTGAAAAATCCTTCTGCCCATCAAGGAGTTTTCATTTATTTTTCAGAAATCTTGTCTTCCCAAGAAGGAATGGATATAATATAACAATAATAATAATAGTAATAATAATAATCCTTGCATTTTGTATAACACCTTATCACATTAGAAGGACATCTCAAAGAGTTTCACAGGATTTACTGTGAAATTAATTTGCTGTGTTTTGTAGACAAGTGCAGCAGCACAATTGTGCACAGCAATGTTCCGCAAACAGCCATGAAATGAGTGTGACCAATTTTATTTGGGGGATTGTTGACCAGGACACCAGGAGAATCTCCCTTCTCTTTCCAAACAGTGCCATGGAATCTTTAAAGTCCACCTGAACAGGCAGACCGGACCTCGGTTTAAAATTTCATCTGAAATACGGCACCTCTGACAATGCAACACGTCCCCAGGGCTACACTGAAGTGTCATCTTAGATAATGTGAATTCAGGTCCTGAAATGGGATTGAACCCAGAACTTTCTGACTCGTACACAAGAAAACTACCTCTGAGCCAAGTATTCTGATAATAGCAAATAAATGAATTCTGCCATTAGTTTCATAATTAAGAGTGGTCTGTACGTCATCCAGTTTCCAGACTTTGCATGAATCATTGTTCACTTATATTGAACAAGTCCCGCACAAGTCAATGTCGATGCCTTCATTCTCATAGCCATCTGGATAGATCAGCTATTTGTAGATTATGGTTTATTCATGACGTATATCTTGAACAATTTTCATATTTGGATTAGATCTCAGAGGCACTGTTTACTAAATTGAATTGCTGGGATTTAAATCACTTTACGTTTCTTGCTGCTTAGCTTTTTGGCAGTCTAAGAATTGCAAGATATTAAAATCTAATCAGTGGTGGCATGTACCTCATGTTGTACTTCTAACTCCTGGGAATGAGAAATCTTTGCCCATTTCATATATTCTGCATAGTCGAGATCAGAGATTTATAATTTGAGTCAGCGCTGCAGTGGGACCATTGATATTAAAACTTCCAGTGCTTGTAATCAAAAATATAAACTCAAATTCTGAACATTCAGTGGTGACGCAGTTGCACTGCACCATCCGAGCAGGGAGAGATGTTTAAAAGGGAGAAAGATAGATACTTGGAAGTAAGGTATTAGAGATACTGAGAAAAGACATGGAAATGGGATTAAAAATGTTAAGCCATGATATGAATTGTCAGAACACACTTGATGGGTTGAATGGCCTTGTCCTGCTCCAATATTCATAGTTTGAGATTAACGGCACACGTCTGATTCATGGCTCAAGTAACATTGTTTTTTTTGACTGATATGGAGGAGGCAGGACGACATAGGTTTCAGTGTGCAACCATGAAAAAGATGGAGGGAACTTTGTCTTTATTGATCATTGATAGGTGGGAGGGGCGAAGGGGGGAAATATTCTCTTGGGTTATAGAAGTACTCATTAGGAAAATTATAACATAATTGGCATCTTGCATTGGAAAAAGTAAAATGCGCCCACAAGGATCCCAATGTACATGATGCCGACCCACAAGAACTCTGCTCTGAGCTGAGATTTTCTTAGAGCCAAGTTTATGCAAGAGGACATAACCTATATGCTATGTGTCTCAAGATTTTTTTTTCTAATGTAATCCTGCTGGCATTTTCCTGACTGGTGACTATTTGTCTCCAGTTAAGTCAGAATAGTCTACGGTAGAATACAGTACGGTAACCATCACACTCCTACTATGACTATGAAGAAGGAGCAGACAGAGAAACAAGAATAAACAGAATGGGTAAGAGGGGACAAGAAGACTCTTGAGACAGTTAATTGCAAAATTTTCCACAAGAAAAAAGGGGATTTAAAAAAAAATGCAAAAGTTAAATTGTGAGATTTCTTGTTTAGTACAATTTATAACAAAAAATAGGGTGTCTTCCTGTGAAATTGTGTGAATATTTGCTGTTCGCTGTTCTGGGCAGTTAGCAGGCTGGCCTCTTTTGCTGAACTTTATGAGTGTACCCTCCTCACTTGTCTAATAATTTGGTGTCAATTGCCTGGGAAGCCAGAACCCTACAATAGTCAATCATGAGATGTGGAAAATATAATAGGTAACAATGTATGGGGGGAAAAAACCCTGGCTGAATGGCTGTTATTAAGTTGTCCACAAGTTAATTACTATAGTAGCTAAAAATACTCATGCGGTAACAACAAATTTAAAGGAAAGTTTGAGTCTTAAGTCAGACTTTTTTAAGATTTAGTAGCTGTCATTTGGCTGTTATACTTACAGCTTATTAAAGACTACCTTGAGGCTTTATTTTAACTTAAGGATTGAGTGATTACTGACAGCACTAACCTATCTTTTTGACTGCATTCAGTGAGCCATCATTTTCAGCCGCTGAGCTTCTCCTGGTGTCCTGGCCAACAATCTCTTCCAATAAAATTGTTCATTCGCTTCATGGCAGTTTGTAGGATATTGTTATGTGCATATTGGTTCCCGCGATATACATAGTGCAGTGATACATGAACTTTACAATGTATCCTGTGAAGCGCTTTGAGACAATGTCCTGACGTGAAAGGTGTTAAATCAAATGTAAGGATTATTATCATCGTACCCATCCTATCTTCCACCCTGCTTGGGCTCCGACTCAGTCTTTGTAAAGTGCTTTGAGAATTCTCCCAACGTGAAAGGCTCTTTATAAGTGCAATTGTCGTTGAGACAAAATTGAAAATCTCACATAATGCATGTACAGTAAGCATCTGATAACTTGTCACTCCAGGGGACAAAGAGTTCAGTGACGAGTTATCCATAGTGGCGAGTTAAGCATATGTATAAATACGTAAATAAATGCGGCCGGGATATTGACAAGATGATGACTTAAGTGTAATGACACATTAAGCCAGGGTCGAAGTATCTGGAGTTTACTGTATTTAAGCAATTAAGCAGTCTCATCCTTATCTCAATATAGAATCTTGTGCTGAAGCAATTGGAAGTTGCAGTTGACCTATTACACTTGGCGATCGGTGGTCAGAAATGCCTATTTGAGTACGACTTGTGTACCATATTTTGGGATGGCTTTTATAATTTATGGAAGTCCTGTTTTTATCAGGGAAATAATTATAGGGTAATAAAATAAAAATAATAAATCAGTTACTCAATCCACGACTCTTTGTGGGATAATGTTCTGCGCAATTGGCTGCCGTGT